TCAAAGGGCTTGGGTGTCTTGAGAATCTATGATTCGGCATCATTGACTACACGTCTAGGACATGGCCTCGACTGGGTGTCGAGATCAAGGGACCACACTCAAGCCTGGAAGGGTTATTCAGCCTGCCTCCAGTTTTCAGGCTTATGTAGAGAGAAGGAACCGTAGTCAGGGTTGCTCTGACAGAGTTTTGTAAAGTAAATAAGACGAAGAAGAATGGATACAATGGCATTCTCGAGGAGCATGGAGACATGTAGCCACCTATCATCTCATTGCTTCGAACTCCTAGCCAGTAAACACCCAAGATACATCTGCTGGAAATAGCTTGCCCCTCGTCTTATTGTCTACTTGATTTATTATACGAATAAACGAAACCAAGAGCATCTCCCCGATCCTGCGCTCAACAATCAGCTTGCCAACCTCGGACGTGGTGAATGCTGACATTCTTGAAGGAGCGGGATCCCAGTGCACCAAATGATCAGATCACGCCACCTGGGCGGAACTACAAACCCCACGTTCCGAAGACGACCCGAAAATCTTGTTGAATCAGTCAATAAATTTGGGATTTGGATTATTTTTTCGACATATCAAACATCGCTACATAGAGAGCAAAGATACTAACTTCAGGTACTGGCGCCTTTAGGAGGCCTTCACCGGAAAGCAATACCGAATACACCGACCGGCACTCCCCAGAGGCAAAAACTCTTCAAGGCCGGCCTCAGGAAAGAGTGAGACTAGGAGATCGCTCTCTCGGACTTATCACGTAATGGGTGCCTACTAGAGGGAAGTATCACATTCGCTTGGAGCAGGACCCGCTGGCAGCCCATTCCTTATGAGCCCGTAATCTTCCGGCAAATTCTCTGCCGCCAACTCACGACTCACATGCCTGCTTCCTTTGAAGAGTTATCTCAGAGGAGGAAGTCCTCTACGGTCATTGCTGCGCGTGGTCCTGGGTCTCCATCTGCCAAGAAGCTTTGACTTGCCATGCAAGAACTGGGGGCCAAAAGCTCGTAGGGCTGGGAAGCCAAGAGTTCATCCAGATGTGGCCGGGGCATGTTGGCCCTGCTTGGGAGAATCTCGTGCGAGTCAGAAATCAGATATCGATTATTCCCTCCCGGAAACCTTTCTCCGGGGCCGACTTTGTTTCCCAGTCCCAAGTCGTGAGGCCGAGACCGGGTCGTCAGGCGCATCCAGGTTCGAGGGCAGCTGCTAAATCACTGAGAAGAAGAGATGTTATTGGGAGACGTCCGGTGAGCTAACCTCGGAAAAGACCCAGCAGTCAGGCTCCCTCTAGACTCTAGCTCGCCAAGCAACCGCGCAACTCAAAGATGAGACTTTAAAAAAATTCTGTTGCCTCCTGCTCGGATACCCTCTTACCAATAGCTCCCCGCGCCAGACCCCTTCCGCGATAGCGCCCCGGCCCGCAAAGCCAAGTCCGGCCAAGTCTGCAGTCTGGCCCATCTAATCTAATCAATCAGATAACACCATCCCGAGTATCCTTCACCCACCCATCCCACTGAAATGGTGTCGGGAACCCGGCACTACGGGTCTGCTCTCGCCAAGCCCGCAGCTGCTTTGTGCTTTTCGCAGGATCCTTCGCAAAAAGTCCCCTCCAGGGCTCTTCCGTCCCGTCTTGTCTTCCCACCCCAACACCATCCATCCTGTGATCTATCTGGCCCCTCATCCGCCGCCATCATGGGTCGCCTCCCGACCTCTCGGTTCCTGGGCGCAAGAAAGCACACTAAGCGGCCCCGGCTTCGGTCTCCTGCGCGCTGGTGGTGGTGGTGTGTGCCCGTTATTCCACTCTGATCTCTGCAAGTATGGACGAGTAGCCGCATCTTATCAGATCACAGCCTGCTGTTGAAAGGGGGACGTGGTGTGCGTGGGTCAAAGGTGAATCCTTCCGGCCGCTAACTTCGTGATGGGATGGTGTAGAACTTAGCGAGGTCGCAAAAAGTGGCACGCTAGAAAGGCGGCACGTATTTGCGCCCTCCTCTGGAAGGGTCTTTAACTACAAGGCGAACCTCCCCCCAAACCATCGGCCGCTTTTCTCTTCTTACTCTATATTTGGTCATTAACCTCTTTCTGCCGCTTTCCGCTTTGTTTGTCTTTGGTGTAAAGCGCATCATGGCAGTGATTTCGCAGCTTCGTGAGGCCCTAGGCCGCAAGCCGGCCCCGGTCGACCACTCACCCATGACCATCACCACGGCGCCGGAAACCGCCAACAACATCGATGACAAAGAACTGGGTGAGATCCCGCCTGACGACGAGAAGCCGGGCGAGGAGCAGAGGGTCAGCCAGGAGGTTCAGCATGGTGTCAAGTTGGCGCAGGCTTTGACCTTGACGTGGGGCAAGAACTCGCTGATTGCCATCTTCATCTTGTAAGGACTCTTTCCCTCGAACCTCTCGCATACCCTGGCGAGACTCGCATCATGAGAAACGGCATGACTGATATTAGGGGGATTTGCTCCCCTGTGCAGCATGTGGTTTCTGTACCTCACCAACGGATTCCAGAGTTCCGTGCTGTCTAGCTTGACGCCGTATGCCGCCAGCGACTTTGAGTCGCACTCGCTCCTCCCCGTCATCGACATTGTGTCCAGCGCCATGACGGCTTCGGTGTACATCCCGCTGGCCAAGATTCTGGATCTTTGGGGCCGAGCGGAGGGGTTCTTGCTCATGGTGCTCTTCGCGACGCTGGGTATGATTATGTTGGCCGCCAGCCAGAACCTTGCCACGTACTGTGCCGCTACCGTAAGTTTTTTAACTCCTTCCCGCACTTTGATCGCCAAATCCACGCAAAGAAGGAGAAAACAACCAAAATACTCATGCAAGAAATCTGTAGGTCTTTTGGCAAGTCGGCTGGTCCGGTCTCACGTACAGCATCGACGTGATCACGGCGGACTCGACCCACGTCAAGAACCGAGGCCTGGCGTTCGCCTTCACCTCCTCGCCCTACATCATCACGGCGTTCGCCGGCCCCAAGGCCGCCGAGGGCTTTCTCAACAACGTCAACTGGCGTTGGGGCTTTGGCTGCTTCTCCATTGTCTTGCCCGTCGTTGCCGTGCCCATGTACAGCATCCTGAAGTGGAACATTCACAAGGCCAAGAAGCGCGGTACGCTGGTGCGCGAGCCTAGCGGCCGTAACTTTGTGCAGAATGTTTGGTGGGGTCTGATCGAGTTTGATGGTATGCTTTTTTCTTCCCCTTTGAATGAGGGCTTCTTTCCCGCCATTGCTCAAGCCTCGAGGACATTGCTGATTAGCTTCACTCAGTCCTGGGAATTGTCCTCTTCGCCTGCGGTCTCGTCACCTTCCTGCTCCCCTTTTCCCTCGCAAGCACCGCCCCGGACGGCTGGAAATCAGCATACATCATCGCCATGATCGTCACAGGCTTCGTCGTCCTCGCCCTCTTCCTCCTCAACGAGCTCTACCTTGCGCCCAAGCCCTTCCTCAAGTTCGAGTTCTTCTCCGACAGGACCGTCATCGGCGTCTGCGTCCTCGACATCACGTACCAGGTCGCCTACTACTGCTGGAACAGCTACTTCACCTCCTTTTTGCAAGTCGTCAACGATCTCTCCGTCTCCAACGCGGGCTACGTCGGCAACACTTTCGACGTCGTCTCGGGCGTGCTCCTCTTCATCGTCGGCTTCTCCATCTCCAAGACGGGCCGCTTCCGCTGGCTCCTGATGGTCGGCGTGCCGCTGTATACCTTTGGCCAGGGGCTCATGATTTACTTCCGCCAGCCGGGTCAGAGCGTCGGATACCTGGTCATGTGCCAGATCTTCACGTCCATTGGTGGCAGCGTCTTTATCCTGTGCATGCAGGTCGCCATCCTGGCGGCCGTGGACCACCAGCACGTCGCCGCCGCGCTCGCGCTCCTGAGCGTCTGCGGCAACATTGGCGGCTCTGTGGGGAACACCATCTCTGCGGCCATCTGGACCAACACGTTTGAGAAGGCTCTGGAGCGGAACCTTCCCGAGTCTGCGCTGGAGAGTCTGGCGGATATCTATGCGGATCTCGATACGCAGCTGAGCTATCCCGTGGGCAGCGATGAGCGACTCGCTATCCAGAACGCATACGGATATGCTCAGACGCGGATGCTTGCCGCTGGAACTTCGGTGATGGTGTTCGGGTTCATTGCTATTTTCATGATTAAGAATTACAACTTGAAGGAGATGAAGCAGACCAAGGGTCTTGTGTTCTAAGAGCCGGCTGTATCTGGGCTCTGGCAGAAAGACCTGTCAGTTCATGAGCTGTGTATGACTTGATTGACTAAATCAAGTTGGTGAGCATCAAATGGGGGCTGAGGAGATAGATATATGAAGTAAATGATGAATGCATAAATTGAAGTTGGTACAAAATATGGACAACTGTTGCAACCGCGAATCAATCTTCTCAGTACGGAGTAAGAATGATGGGCTATGTTGTTGTTATGCCCTGAAAACTGACATCGATGTGGAAAGGGGCGCAAAAGGGGGTTTGCTTGAAGATGGGTATTGATATTGAAATGGGATTTCATGCATCGGTGTGGACGGCATCGGCAGTGACGTTGCAAGCCGGCGGGAAACAAAACAAAGCTCGAGGTACGTACACGGTACACGGGCACCGGTCGATAACGGGTGGGCTCGGTGATGACGTCGACCAATCACCGCTGACGGCCGGATCAAGCCCGGACCCTTCGGTGCTGCTGCAGCCAGTGAAACGCCAACGGGTGGATCCACACACGGCGGAGGCTTTTCCCCACGTCGTTTTTGGGTGGAAAGAAGCTGCACTGCTGCGCTGGTCTCGAGTGCTTTGCCTCTTTGCGGTCTGTCGTTGACCTTTTTTTCTTTGCCGCCGACGCGAGTCCACTTTCTGACCTACCTTACCTGACCTCGTCTTGAGAGTCGAGCTATCTGACCCCCATCTCCCCAGAAGCTGTTGGACGTCAAAGATCAGGAATTTTCAACACTCCCCTCTCTCCAGCAGTACTTCTTGGCTTGTTAACTGGGTTGAAACCGACAAGATGTCAGCGGACGACCAGCAGTTTTTGGACGTTGTAAGCATCATCCGCCCCCACACCAAACACCTCCAAGCTTGTGATCACGAGAGCTCTCTACTGACACCGCCCTCTTGTTCCCACAGCTGTCCTCGCTGCCCAACAAGATCCGGGGCTACTCCGACGACCTCGCCAACCTCATCAACCCTACCGTCGATAAGGCTGCACAGGCCGTACGAGAGACGCTCTCCTCCTCAGAATGGCTGCCCGACTCGGTGCGGCCGAAGCCCCCCGTCCGCCATATTCCTATTGAGGTGATAGCTATGAGCCGGTACGAGAGGTTGCACGGTTGGGTAAAGGAACACAAGCTGCTCACCGGTGCCATCGTCGCCGTCGTGGGAGTCGTGGCATACCGATCATACAGGAGTAGCAGGTTCTGCAAGAAGACGCGCCGGGCGAAACGGGCTAGGAACGGCGGCCGTCTCGAGGTTGTCGTTATCGCTGGTTCACCGACACTACCTTTGACAAGGTCGCTATCACTCGATTTCGAGAGGAGAGGATTCATTGTTTACATTGTCTGCAACGCCGAGGAGGATGAGAGCATGGTGCACAGCTTGGCAAGGCCCGACATTCTGCCTTTGACCATTGACACAACGGATGTGAGCAGAGTCGGTATGCAGTTTAGGCCTTCACTGACGTATGTAATAGCCTCCCAGAGCTGGCGCTGCCATCGACAGCTTCGCGCAGTACCTTCAATCACCACACGCCCCGGTACCGCGGACGAGGCCCAACCATCTCCAGCTCAAGTCCGTCATCCTCATCCCGTCGCTCAACTACCAAACGTCACCCATCGCCACTATCCCGCCCTCCAGCTTTGCAGACCTCTTCAACACCCACCTGCTCCACCCCATCCTGACCATCCAAGCCTTCCTGCCGCTCTTGACGACTCGCCTAAGCCCGCCTGGAGAGAAGTGGACGCCGCCAAAGGTTCTCGTCTTCACGCCGTCCATCATCTCCTCCGTCAACCCCCCCTTCCACGCCCCCGAGGCAACCGTCTCCTCCGCCCTATCAGCTTTCACCGAGGTCTTGACGGCAGAGCTGCGACCCCTCGGCATCCCCGTGACCCACATGCAACTGGGCACCTTCGACTTCACCGGCTTCCAACCCGCCAAGCACACCCACCCTTCCCAGAGAGGTCTCCTCGAAGGCGGACCCGGCATCGACGCCGACGCCACAGAGACCCTCATGTGGCCCGAGAACGCCCGCCACGCCTACGGACGCAACTTTGTCATGCAGAGCACCTCCGCCATCTCGGCCGGCCGCATCCGCGGTCTGAAGGGCAGCTCCCTCCGCCACCTCCACAACGCAGTCTTTGACGTCATTGACGGGTCCATCACCAGCGGCACCGTCCGCGTCGGTCTCGGCGCCAGCGTCTACGGCTTCGTCGGCCGCTGGGTGCCTCGCGGTCTCGTCTCGTGGATGATGGGCATCCGCCGCGTGGACGAGCTGTCGGCGTGGCAGACCAGCTCTTATGATGGGTCGCTCGACGGTAGTGACAACGACGAGGGCCAGGATTTTGTCGCTGTGCCTGATGAGAAGTTGGATAGCAACGTGTGGAAGTCGTCTTAGAAGGACTTGGTCTTGGCTAGCGTCTCTTGCATCACATCGGGAAGTACCTTCACAGAGGGTGCAAGAAACCGATTGAATGACAAGATGCTTAACTAGGCATAGGGGCTAATGGCCTAGCCGGCTGATCATGGCCGACGATTCGGGCTATTGAGAGACGCGCTTAGGCGACAGCGTTATGAGCAATCTAGCCTGCGTCAGCGAGCGAAACCGAGACTTTGCTCACAAAAGGCTTATGATTGACGAACTCCACTCGTATCCAAATGGAATGACATCCGTATCACTACTCGTTGGATTAAGCGTACATAATCATGATAGTAATTCAACGTTGTATCGTGGTTGAGCCTGCGGCTCTCTACACCCCTTCTCTCAAATTACTCCTATATCTTAGCCTCTGTGATTGTTTTCTGTGTCAACTGTGTTAGGAGGAACTTCGGCCTCCTAAGGTTAATTTCATCATGAATGTTCTGCGTTGCCCAGGTTCCTTCTTGCTTGTTCCCGAATGGGCTGATGATGAAATGATTTATCTCTTAAATGTGCCATTCTTCCAGGAGGCGTTATCTAGTACTTCTTGCAAAGACGTGATAAGCTGGTTCCTAGGGAAGGGTAGCTGATCCTTCGGAAGCGTTTAAAGGAGCTTATTTCAGTATCTTTTACAAGTCTCTCATGACTCGCATACGCACAGCAGTTGAGTAAAGGGGATGGAAAGCTTTGATGAAAAACGTGCTATTCATGCTTTGTGACCCCGTCCATATTTGCTAATGTTGATCATGATGATAGACATACAGGACAGATAATGAGAGAAGCATTTGTATGTTGAAATAATAGAGGTGGTTTGCCTGAAGGAACCATAACACTTTTTCAAGCTTTGTGTTCTCATTCGTCACGCTTCGTACCCTCATTCGTTTCGCTTTATGTCCCCGTTCGTTATGCTTTACATCCCCATTCGTCATACTTCGTGTCCCCATTTATCACGCTTTCCATTCTTATTTATCATGCTTTCTATTCTCGTTCGTCACATTTAGCATCCCTATTCATCAGGCTTTATATCCCCGCTCGTATTTGTCAACGATTGCTGAATTGATGAACGTGTCTGAAAGATGACGGTGGTTATTTTAAGATAAAGAGATAGTTGTCGCTAGAATGATCTCTGGGAACAGCGACATGAATATGGCAAATTCTCACTATCGGTCAGACAGGACATGGAATCACAAGGCTTGAGCAAAGGAGTTGATGGCATTAATCGCCGGTTTGCCTTGGGAATTCTTTTGAATGTTTACGTGAGGTTGGGCGGTATTTATATCAGTGCAGGTAGGTCTGGTAGATTCTGGACCAACAGGAGAAGGGGCAAAGGCTGACGGCCTTGTGCGAGCCATCGGGAAACGGCATGGGATAGTCAACAGTCGTGCTCAACTGCCTCGTGATTATGAGAGACGGGACACAAGCAACCCGACAAAGGCCTCTCATCATTAGACAACGCGCCCGACATGACGCCACCTCAATTGAATTCCTATTGAGGAGTTCGAGAAGAGGGGGTTCGTCAGAGTGAGAGATCATTATCATCAAGACCGTCTCATCAAGGCCGTCCACTAAACTCGAAATTGGAAGGATCATGTCCTCTGGACCATTTCCCGCCCGCTCGCTCGTATTCGTTAACGATATTTGCACGATGAACGTACGTCACGGAGAACAATGGGCGTTGACATATTATGGACCTTGAACCGTATATTAAGACAAAGAGCTGTTTGCTCGACGGGACTTGCTAGCTTTTAAACCCTTTTGAAAGAACATGCTGAGGGGTTGAGGGAGTCGATAGCATTAATCACCTTGGGGAATGTTCAAAACGGCTGCGTGAGGCTAGGCGTTTTTATACTACGTAGTGTCATGTACTTTCAAGACGAACCAGAGACAGGGAGATAAGCGACCTTATGCTTTGGAGGGCTAAGAAATGAAGGCATAAGGTAGAAGAGACTAGAATGGCTCATTGTCCGCCCGTTGCCTGCCACACGGTGGCAAAATTACAGGGCCGGGTGTTCACGTTCTTCACAACCTAAAGGCAGTCCTGTTCCTTAGAACCGCATGCTTGCCTACTCGTATTCGTTGACGATGTTTGCACGATGAACGTGCGTGACAGAGAATGGGGGTCGTTTGTGGGGTAATGGACCTTAGCTGACATAGTAAGACAACGAGACGTTTGTTCGCTGGGTGAACCCCAGAGCCCAAGGGCTTCTCCCCGGTGCCGAGGGAGTCGATGGCATTAATCACCGTTGCCTTGAGAGGTATTCGGAGCTGCTGCGCGAGGTTGAGGAGGATTTATATGAGGTGGGTGGGTGGATTGAGGGCCATTGACAGGGGGGGAGAAAGGAACGAATGAGATGGGTTGTGATGATGACGAGAGTGGGATATATCAGGGGAACCAATGTCACGACGAAGAGGACCTCACAGTGGCTGTGGCAGTTGGGATCATTCTGTTCAACCATCTATCCGACTCGGATTGCTTATCCGTTGATCCTTAATCACATCACCGCTGGCCGTCAGCACTATCGTCCCTCTTCCCAAACCTGGCGCCGAAACCTCCAATGTCCCTCCGGAAGAATTTGCCAAAGTTCTTGAGATTCTCATTCATGGTCGCCTTCTCCGTACCCGCGATGCCGCCCGGACCGGTTCCCTGCCCCAGGTCCCTCGCCGCGCTCAGAAGCTTCTCACCCAACGAGGTCGCGTCAAACTTGCTCGGCAACCCCGGCATGGCGCTGCTGGCGCTCGTGAGAGCGGTACTCGCGTTGATGGCCCCAAGACCGGAACTGCCGAGTCCTGTGGTTGCCATCAACGGCGTGAGCAGCGGAGATTGTTGGACGAGTTTGTCGCTGAGGTTGCCCTCGCGGTGGATGCCGAATAGTTCCACAAGGTGGCCCTGATCGGCTTTGCGGACGCCCTTGAGGTCGAGAATCTTTCTAAAGTTGGTATCGGAGCGATCGGCAATGTGGATCAAGTATGCTTGGACCAAGCCCTCTGGTGGCGAAGGGCGGACTTGCAGCGTCTTGAGGAGAGGGTCTATGCGGTTCATTGTCTGGTTCACTCGTTTTACATAGCCCGCTGGAGCCGCGTGCGGTGTTGAAGAAGACTTGTTGTGATATGACAGCAGATTTTCGAATGCTTTTGTCAAAACGTACTTGTCGAGCAACATCTAAATGGGGGTCAGTATGTGTGTGAGGACTCGTGTGTGGTTGGAGCATACCTGTTCAGCGCCGACCTCGGAAACTGGGCGACATTGTACAATGTTGCTAATGTAGGCGTTGACGAGATGGTCCACCAAATTATCGCAAAATGCCCTGGCGTATTGCTGCTTGACTAAAAGGCCTAGGATCTCCTCGGCTTTACCGTTCACGGAAGATAGAAGCTCACCAACATATGAGCTTTGATCGCCCACAGTCTCCATGGTGCTCCAGCCTGTGTTACGCATCTCACGCCAAGATCCCTCGCAGGCGATCTCAACGTTACGTACTAACGTCAGCACCGCAGCGCTGGCCACGCCAAGAAAGGCGTCGGCTTGTGATGATAGGTCAACTTTTCCAATAAGATCATTGTCGATGCGCTTTTTGATGTTTTCCTCCAACTGGGTAGTATTCGTAGACCAGAAATCTGCCGTGTTCAACACCAAAATGACGTCTTGAATTGGCGGACCTTGAGGTCCAGCCCTTTGCAAAATGTGCAGAAGAACTTGTTGTGCGTATTCGTCGAGGTACTTTGCCAGCGTTTTGGAAAGGTCCAATAATCTGTCACTCGTAGACAATTTGGCGCATTGTGATAATGTGAGTTTGTAGAAGTGGAACAGTTCAATGGCTGAGGAAATGACGGCTTGCGTAGAAAATTCTTCGTCTTCCGGAAGCAGAGGCTGATTTCGGTATTTTGGTATCATTGTAGCAAGTTGCTTGTCTTGCGACTCCACCCACAAGCTCAAATACGGTTCGAAAGCAGTTGATATCGAACCATGGAAATTCGATGCTCTGTCGTCGGATGAGCTCAGGGTATCGATACTGGCGCGCGGTTCGTTGGCAAACCGCCTCTCTAGGCCATGCTCAAAGTCCAACGTCTCCTGTAAGCAGCTCAGAAGAAGGTTTACGTCAATCTTCTGCCCATCCGTCTTGCGCATGCTTCTTTCGAGGATGCCCTTGAAGTCGTCTCGAGTGCCGTCACAGAAAGCCATGGCCAGTAATTCGTTCGCGCGCCAATGGGCCGGGAAAATAACAGCGTGCTCATCCTCATGAGTCTTGAGCATGCGTTTAAACCATGCATACCTGCGACCGATATTGTCCAGGTTCCCGGCCTCGTCGTTGCCCCTGAACACCTGGCGGTACTCGCGTAGTTCCGTATTGACGTACCAGTTCATCAGTCGCGTCCGAGCCATGTCGCCCAAGGCATCCATGACCAGACAGGCCTCTACCAGTGTACCCCTGCGCTGTGCGACCTCTCCCTTAGCAAACGCAATCTCGAAATCTTCGCAGACCTGCTCCAACAATTCCCGCTGCAGCTCCGAAACGCCTCGGCTCAGCGTGGCGATCTGTTCAATGCTCCGGTAGCTGTTGAAGTGCTTCATAAGCTGCAGCACAGCTTGTAGCAGGCTCGCGCAGTCTCGGTATTGCCTCGTCTTGGCCAAACCTCTCAGCTGTTCGTATGCCGTCGTCAACATTTGCAGTCGTTTCAGCGCGGTCATGCTCAATGTGAGGTTCCGTTTCGTGCCATCCAATCGTTTTATATCGGCCGTCATGGAAGTGATGTTCTGCTCGGTTTGGATTGCTCGGGATCGCACGGTCTCGATCTTGCGGAAGAGCTGGGCGAGTTCGGCTTGGGCAGACTGCATGCGCTCGAGGCTCGAATCGGGACCGTATGCCTGGGCGACCTCAAGGCTGGAGATTTCGACGGCGAGATCATTTTTATGGGTCTGTAGTGTATCGGAAACGCGACTGATTGAGGTTACGGTTGAGGGATGTGGAAAGAGGTGGTTT